TTTGCAGCCAGACCACATCCTTTCAGCTCAACATAAGTTGTGCGTTACAGCTATGATCAAGGTTTCAGTGCATTCAGCATCTGATAAGGAGAGGTAAGAAGAAATGTTCTGCCCGAGAGATTTCAGTCTTTTCATCACATGTGTGATTCTCTTCATCATCCAGTCTGGTGAGCAGTGTTTTCTCTTGAATTTGCTTTTTGCTCCATTATGTAAACATGCACAATGCAAACTCACATTACTGAGGTCTTTCAGTCTTACAAAGCAGTTTGTTCAGATGCAGTGTGCTTCTTTCTTTTGCTCATCTGTTCTTGACTTCAACATCCCGTGACTGGACATTTTTATTTTGTTTTAGGTCATGGTTCTGAGATTATTGGAGGGAAAGAAGTCAAGCCACACTCGCTGCCTTTTATGGCTCTGCTGGAGCGTGATGGACCAATGTGTGGAGGAATATTAATTGATCCAACATGGGTCCTGACTGCTGCTCACTGTCCGAAGTAGGAAACGAAATCGTACTTTTATTACAATTTTCAAGCTTTAAAACGTTAAAATGCAATTTAATAGAATTGTTTTGTGTATATGCCAGTCAACAATATATTTATTATTCTGATGCTTATGGACTTTATTTACAAAAGATAAAATTTTTGCCGCATCTTGCTTTCATTATGGAAACACACACACACATTCAGTATATCTACCTTTTAAATAAACAGTTGATCCTCTCTTACTGAACTATCAGACCTTTTTAAAAAAGACACACACACATACACATGCAAACACACACTGAGTTACAGAATTATGACAGATTTTCTGATGACATCATATTTACTCTGTTTGGCTTATGTGACCAGTGTGTCTACAGTATTATAGATGAAAGATATAGAAACTGTAGAGCTAATGTCCATACTTTGAGGTTTATTTTTTATCAACAGCATAGTATTAAACAATCTCATTTTACACATTTTACAAAGATAGATCTTTCACAGAGATGCTGTAAGGAATTTTATTTATAAAGCAATAACAACCAAACAATGATCTATAAATCTTTATTAACCTGTTCTATAAACAAACTATCATCACCACAAAGTGTTGTTGCTGTTTTTTTTCTCTTCCAGTATAAGTACGGTGATCTTGGGAGTGCATTCCATCGAGAAAAAGAAAAAGAAAGAGACACGTTTAAGGCAGGTCCGAAAGGTTCAGAAATGTGTTCATCATCCCAGCTTTTCTAAAGACAAAAAAGTCAATGACCTCATGTTGCTGAAGGTAAGGGGATAATTGAATGTCCAACAGTGAGCAGAGCAAAGATGCAGCAATGTGAATTAAAAAGGAATCTAAAATAATATATCTGAAGCTTCAGATAAGAAATGGTCTAAATCAAACAAAATCAAAATCAAGTCTCTTTTCTTCTTTTGCAGTTGCTGTTTGTTCAAAATGCTGCTAATCAAACACTTTGTGTGCCTGTTATACTCTTCCAAGGCTCTCGCATATCTCTATGTTGTTTTAACAATAGCAACACTTTTAGTAGCTGTAATTAAGGTTCATTGCAAACACTGTAATTTATTCTAATCTGTTCTGTGACTGATTCTGAGTATCAGACAAATTTGATAAAAAGCCCATATTCATTAAAACATCCTTCCTTTCTGCTGTGACTAAAAAATAGCAGTTTTGTTGATCTTCAACCTTCAAAGCCCTCATGCTATTGTAGACACTTTGATGCTACTCAGAAAAGTAAACAGGGTATTGAATTCTTAATCTGGCCATTGCATAGACTGCATGCTTTTCAAGTGGTTACCTGAAAGTATCCAGTCATACTCAAGCCCCTTAAGGTCAAAAAATGGAAACACTTAACATTTTTCACTGACTCTGGCTGGTTAAATTCATGTCACTAAATTCACAATTAACCCCCTCTTTACTTTTAAGGTTAGTCTTAAAGCTTTCCTTTTTGATAAAGCTTAATAGATCACTTTGACTCCTTGAAGCAAATTGTACAGAAATGAGGCTTCGGTTTTTGCA